TTTAGGGTTTAGGGGTAAAGGGTTTAGGGTTTATTGTGGGCACCCTGGAAGCCTCACTTTCAGCAAAGGATCCCCGAACACTAAACCCCTGTATGAAACCCTTCAACTTCAAGAACCCTTGAGGATGCCCTGACGAACTTTCTATGAAGTACAAACCCTTAAGAAAGCCCGAAGAACCCTCCAACAACGCTGAAAGAACCCTAAACCCTAAGAACCCTTCAACACCCTTACCCTAAGGGTCCAAAGGACCTAATAATCATGTACTTGGCTTACGGATAGTAGTTTTGTTGGTTAGTATTCAGAAAATTATATGACTACTAGGTACTTGGACCCTTAGGGTCATCATAACCAAGAACCCTACACCCTAAGAACCCTTCAAATCCTAAACCCTAAACCCCTAAACCCTAAAGCCCTAAACCCTAAGAACCCTTCAACACCCTTGTCATATTCGAACCCCTTCAGCATGCGAGACGGAACTGGCCTGGGCTAGCCATGCGGCTCGAAGCTGCCACTTGCACTTGACCTTCGTTTGGATTTCCGGGTGTTCAGGATAAGCTTTGGGGTTTAGGGTTCAGGGTTAGGGGTTTAGGGTTTAGGGCTCCTGGTTTAGGGTTCAGGGTTTCGGGTTTAGGGTTTAGGGTTCAGGATTTAGGGTTAAGGGTTTAGGGCTTAGCGGGTCACCTAAAGCCTCGATGGTCTTCCCTGGGTTCTGCATGGGTTCCAGAAGTGCGGGTTTAGGGTTTAGGGTTTAGGGCCTTAGCGGTTGAAGGATTTCAGCTGGGGAGCTTGGGGTTTTTCGCGAGGGGTTACACGCGGATGCTACCGGGTTGGTTCTTACCTATAGTCTCCATTGTAGCTCGTTTTTGGGGTTACTTTTTGGGATCCTTAATATACAATTCGTTAAACAAAAAAAGGGAACTACAGTGGAGACTATGGGTACTTGAGATTTAGGTAGGTACCATATATTGGATATTAAGCTTGTTCATCCCAACTTTGAACGTTGGCACCCATGAGACCCTGGGATTTAGTTGAGCCGTGCTTCTCCGCACACTTCTCAACACCAAGAGCGCGCAATATAGGGGCCTTAATAATTAGAATTGAATAGGGCTTTGGGGTATAGTATACTACAGTTATAATACGGAATCCCCACAATAATACTTGTAGATAGTTAGGCCCCTATAATACTCTCATTGCGCGATCTGCGGTGTCTAAGCTTTTGGCTTTCGGGGCACCTGCTGCTCAGTCCTAAACCCTAAACCCTAAACCCTAGACATTCATCTTCTCGACTGAAATCCACAACTCCGCGTGCTGCGATCTGCCGGCAGATCTCCCAATCCGCTACTGTAGGGGCAATAATACTCTGAATAAGGTTTTGGGGTATTTTACACTATACGTATAATAAGGAAGTGGGTTACCCCCTAGAATACGGTTGTGGCGTAGTTTTATACTATATGTGTTTATAAGGAAGTGGGTTTCCAGCCCCCCAAACAATATTGATAATTATTTTCTAGGCCCGTATGTTAGACTCTGCCTATGGTCTCCATTGTAGTTCCTTTTTTGGTTTAACCAATTATATCTTAAGGAATTTATAAGGTCTCCCCCAAAAGGAACTACAATGGAGACTACC